CAAGCCATCCTACGGGATTTTTATGTTGATGATTTTTTATCTGGTTGCGATACATTAGACAAGGCATTTAATATACTTTTGCGAGTTGCGCAAAGGGAATCGTTCTCACAAGAATACGCTAAACTATCACAAGGTAAAGGTCTTGGGCACAAAAATAAATTGTCGGCATTAAATCCTATTTTTGATGATAAATTGATCAGGGTGGGGGGCAGGTTAAGCAATTCTAATTATACTTATGATAAAAAACATCCGGTTATTTTGGATGCTAAACACCCTCTCGCGATATTATTATTTTTATATGAGCATAAACGTCTACTGCACCCTGGCCCTCAGCTTCTTTTGTCATCAATTCGCGAATACTGCTGGCCAATAGCAGGTAGAAATCTTGCAAGAAAGGTTACAAGAAATTGCATAACATGTTTTAAGGCCAATCCTAAGAGCAATAATCAAATTATGGGAAATTTACCTGCCGACCGTGTAAATATTAATAGTCCATTTAATGTCGTTGGCACTGACTACGCCGGCCCATTCACCCTTAAGGATAGAAAGGGCCGTGGCTGTAAAACTTTAAAGGCATACATCTGTTTATTTGTTTGCTTTGCCACCAAAGCAATTCATATCGAATTGGTTACTGCATTAGATGTCGAGCATTTCTTATCGGCTTTTAAACGTTTTATTGCTCGGAGAGGTCGTCCTTCTCGCATTGTATCAGACAATGGTACCAATTTTGTGGGCGCATCATCTGAATTACGCAATCTATTTAAATTTATTGATGATAATAATGCTTTTATTTCTAACGCAATATCAAATGAAGGAATAAACTGGAGTTTTATTCCTCCAAGGTCTCCACATTTTGGCGGACTTTGGGAGGCAGGTGTAAAAAGCGTCAAACACCATTTAATTCGCGTGACAAAGGGCAGTATATTTACTTTTGAGGAATTTTATACAATTTTAACTGAAATTGAATCAATACTGAACTCCCGTCCAATGACCCCTCTTTCAAATGATCCCCATGACTTGACTCCTTTGACTCCCGGTCACTTTCTAATCGGAAGGTCGATAACGAGTTTACCTGAACCTGACTTGACTCAAATGAAAACTACGCGATTGTCGAGATATCAACACTTAATTCAGATTCGACAACATTTTTGGTCACGTTGGTCCAAGGAATATATTTCCGAACTCCAGGTGAGGTCTAAATGGCATAATGCGACACCCGGTATACCCATTGGAGCACTGGTCGTGATCAAAGAAGACAACGTTCCTGTAATGCAATGGAAGTTGGGGCGCATTTTAGAAAAACACTACGGTACGGACAACGTGTGTCGTGTAGTGACAGTGAAAACACAAACGGGTGTGTTTAAAAGAGCAATTTCAAAGGTGTGCGCGCTTCCGATCGAAGAGAAAGGTGCCCGTGACTAAAAACATTAAACATTAAACATTGTATATAAAATTTAAAATTACTTGTTAATACTGATGTAGTTAGTATTTAGTTATTAATTTTAGCCCTAGTGAATATTGTTTGATTCACTATTGTACTAATGTTTATATTTTATTATTTATGCCCTAATAATTCATTGAAAGGCCTCCTTTCAAGGTGGGCGGTATGTTTGTAAATTCAAAGTATAAGTGCCTTAAGCGCCTCAAGCGGCATGCGCCACTTAAAGCTCCTCCCCCAAGGGCTTACCGAGGGATGATTTCTTCTAATATAGTTAGTCAGGCTACTGTAGCCGCTCTAGAAAGGAACATTGTTAAATAATTAAGCTACCATTTAAGTCATTGTATTATTCAGCAGTTAACTGAATAAAGAGTTAAGTTTACATACTTCGTCTTCAATTCCTTTCTACTAAGTATCACAAAACAAACAACTTTACACTCAACCTCCATATCATACTCTTGTATTGCCAACCTCCATCTAGCAATTCGAGGCACCAAATCTCGTTTCAACAGAGTTGATCTTATGGCAACACAATCAGTGATTATTTTGAAATGAATGCCCACCAGATATGTTCGAAATATCCTTACTGACTTCACGACAGCTAAAGTCTTCAATTCGTAGCTGTGATACATCTGCTCAGCAGTGGTAGTACATCTGCTAAAATATGCTACTTACTGGTTCATGTTTGCTGGCATCAGTATGCACCTGGGTTTTATATATAGCTAGAACTGGTCTTTGACTTAGCAACTCCTTCAGTTTTTCATATGCACCTTGTTCCTCTTCTCCCCAATTCCACGCGACATCCTTTTTTGTTAGACTGGTCATCGGTTTCAAGAACAGCTTGTATTTTTCGTTTTTCAGGCTTTATGCATTCACCACATACTTCATTTCCCAAATACTTAGTATCAATCTACATAAAGGAACATTTCTCCAATCTTAGCGTCAGACCAGCCTCTTCAATTAGCTTTAACACGTCGTTTAACAACTTAAGACCACCTTATTCTCCATGTGAAGGTATTAAGATATCATCCATGTATGCTAGCACTTCCTCTCTCAATTCACCCAACATTCGGTCCACCATTCGTTGAAATACAGCTGGGGAGTTGGCTAGACCAAATGGAACCCTCAAATACTCGTAGTGACCACCAGGTGTTATAAATGCTGTTTTTGCCACCGAATTCTTATGCATTGCCTTTTGATGGTAGCCTTGAGCCATATCCAGGGTCGTAAAATACCTTTCAATACCTTTCAATTTCTCCAATTGGTCTTCAATCAACGGCAATGGATACCTGTCCTTTACCGTTATTGCATTAAGAGCACGATAATCTACGCACATGCGCACATCTCCTGTTTTCTTTGGTATTAACACCACTGGACTAGCGTAATTGGACTCTGAATCTCGGATAACACCAGCCTCCTTCCTGGTCTTCGTATTTTTTCTCTCACCAAACTCTGAGTGTGACAATCGGTAGGGTCTGTGAAATATTGGTACATCGGTTGTTGTTTTAACCTCCATTTTACCTATCGCTGTGAAACCTACATCGACATCATTTTTAGAAAAACATGCCTCCCTATTTTTCAATAATGTCATTAGTTTATTCTTACATAAATCAGACACATCTCCCATTTTACTTGCCCAATTTTATCACCTAATCTAATAATATTCACCTGTGTAGTTTTGGTTGCCTTCTTTTTCTCTCCAGTCTTGGCCACCTTCTCGCCTCCTAACTCCAATCGAAACAAGACACGCTCCTTTCTCCGAAGAATCTCCTTTTTTGTGAGATTGGTCACCTTCAGCAACTGGTTCTTCATTCCCAGCTTCAGAAGTTGGCCATGTATCATGATGTAGCCGTGTTCAGTGGTTACAACTTTGTCCACCATAACAAAATCGCCACCTTGGTTACCACTCACGTCGATTGATCATCTCAGACGCAAATGATTCGCAACATAGCTCTTCTGCTAGCCGAATTTACCCTCCTCCACTTCAGGCATACCAAAGCTGCTCATCCATTTGTTCTTCACATCCAAAACGTTTGAAAGTCATCTCTTCTCTCAATGGCTTAATTGGAGCTCTAATTTTCTCCACAAAAGCAGCGGACACCATTGTACCATTCACAAGCAGCCCCTTCCTGCGCGATTAGCAACTGCTCCTTCTTAGTCCACGCATTAGCTTCAGTTAACTCCTGAACTCTCTCGAGCCACCTCTACACATTGGTGCTCTTGTTTTCAGGGCATCACCAGCTCCTGTCCCAAGCTTATAACCCCACCTCGATAGTTGCTTGAGGACTTGTCATACCCTTGGCTAGATGGCGTACTAGAGATTTCCTCCATGCACTCTCCCCCTGTCTTACTGTTCGACCTTGCTGCTCGAGCAACTCCTTAAACAAGCCACGTGTCACAGCCATATTATCAACAACTGGTTCATTTTGACCGGCAGCAGTCTCCCTACGTGAACCCTGTTCTGATTGACTCCGCATACCATCCTCATCCTCCAAATTGATCGACAGGTGGTCGCTCATTTTGTAAAAACTCTTTCTTATTACTGATACAAAGAATACTCCTCTCCTTTGTGTCTGACTCTACTCCAACTAAGTCTCCAGTTAAACGTTACAATTGTCCTCCTTTTGGTTTAATAGAATTGTCCTCCGAATACCACTAGTAATCAAAAATATATGTCGAATATTTTGAGGTGTGATATAGCGAATTTTGTTTGTGGTTGCGAATAGTATTCGTGCTACGCTACAGGCGCGGATACAGGGGAGCAATCCCCCCTGACAGAAGAACTTATTTCATATTTTTTCAAGACCTACAAACAGGATTGATAACAAACTAAAATGTTAACAAATTTTTTGTTTGGAACTAATTTTCTGCAACAACAACTTTATTAGCAAAAAATAAAAAATAAAGGGAAGAAAATGCTTCGTCAACAGCAGATAATTTTCAAAACTTTATGAAAACTGCTCAAAATGGCCGCAAATATTTTTAATGCAAACTTTGCATCTACGGATTGTGCAGCTGCGCAGCACTCTGCTGGTGTTATTTATTGGGCTGCTTCAACAATCATTTTCTGGAGAGTTGCTTCGTCGTTAACGGGCTCAGCATAAACCTTGCTCTTCATTGTACCCTATACAAAAAAATCTAAGGGGGTCAAATCCCGCGCTTTCCAAAGACTGGGGCAGTCTCGACCGCGACTAATCCATCTTTCAGAAAATTGTGGTGCAGCCATCGCTGAACTGGTAGAGTTTAATGAGCAGGGTATCCATCCATTTTCTATTCATGGTTTACGTAGTGCGGTTTAACAATGCGTTTAGCTATTGACATGTCGATTTGACTATTTTTACACGATGTCTAATGTCTAATTACGGTTGGCCACAGTGCAGAATTAAATATATTACACCAATTTAAAAGTTTTAAATTAAAACACACCTTTTGTATAAAAAATAATGTCGAATATAAATTACTAAATAATTGAATAGAATTATTTTTTAAATATTGTCATAAAATGTATTGCTTAAATTCTATTGGATCGTGAATTAATAACATAATATTTCTATTTTTACAGGGATATGGACACCCTCATCCACTTACTTAAAGGAAGTCTAGGATCAGGCATATTGTCTATGCCTTTGGCATTTGCCAATTCTGGTCTTTATTTTGGTCTTATTTCCACCTTTACAATTGGTCTAATATGCACCTACTGTGTTCATATTTTAGTAAAAAGCGCGCACACACTATGTAGGCGTATGCGGGTTCCATCTTTAGGTTTTGCCGATATCGCAGAAACTGCCTTTTTAGCAGGTCCCAAAGCCTTCCATCAATGGGCCAAATTCGCGAAAGCATGCATTAACCTTTTCTTGGTTATAGATTTGCTGGGTTGCTGTTGTATATATGTCGTGTTCGTTGCAAAAAACGTTAAACAAGTCGTAGATTTCTATGCAGCTGATGATTATAAATTTGATACCAGGATATATATGGCCGCATGCCTTCTTCCTCTCCTTCTCTTTAACTCAATTAAAAAGCTGAAATATTTGTCCCCATTTTCTATGATTGCAAACATACTTATGGCCGTTGGTTTAAGCATCACGTTTTATTATATACTTACTGATAACCCCACCGAAGAACAAAAGGCAGAACGCGTAGTTGAGAATATTGTTAGCCCCATCCATTGGCCCATGTTCTTTGGTACTGTCATTTTCGCACTAGAAGGTATTGGTGTAGTTATGCCTTTGGAGAACAACATGAAAACTCCCCAACATTTTACCGGATGCCCTGGCGTTCTAAACATCGGCATGTTCTTCGTTATCTCTCTCTACTCTTCCGTTGGATTCATGGGTTACAAGACTTATGGCAAAAAAGCTGAAGGCAGTATCACTCTTAATCTTCCAGAAGACAAAATGTAAGTTTTATTTTAAATTTAGTAATAAAGACATAATGGTAAAGGGACCAATGATGTACCTAAATAATGGGTAACCACCCTATTAAAAATGCCATATAGAAACACAAAATAAAAATCTATATGGTTCTCTGGTTCAATATAGGAATTTAAAACAGGCATTGCCCTATTTAACCAAATAGAATTCCATACATGGAAAACCATATAGAAAAGTAGTTTCTATATAAATTGCCATATAGGTTCAGATTGAACCATATTAAAGCTCTATCTGGCCCAATATGGTTTGGGTAGGAAAAAATGATTACCATATAGATCCATATTTAACCATATAGGGGAATCTATATGGTTAATATGCAATTTTTGTTTAAATATATATACATTTTAAAATGGAATTCCATATTCAACCATATAGGGAAACCTATATGGAAAGAAACATAAAACAGAAACCAGATAAATCCATATAAAAATCCCTAAGTACTACATTTTAAAATGAAATTCCATATTAAACCATATAGATTCCAAAGTGTAAACCAGGTCGTTCCATATAGGACATGTCCATATGGTTCTATATGTATACATGTCCATATGGTTCTATATGTATATAGAACCATATAAATCCATATTAGTTACCTTATCTGGATCAATATGGGTTCTATAGGGCATTTTTAATAGGGCAGTTAAAGGTTACAAATTGTAAAAATCATTTGGTACAAGGATATATCCTTGTATACAAGTTACGGAAATGTCAAGTATTCGTGCTATGAAATGTGGATGATGATGCCCATCCTTCATTCAGTATTCGAGTACAGTATTGGAGTCTCAAAAGCGTCTAAGTGCCACTGCCGTGCTAAGAACAAATGTGGTAACCAATATTAAGTAATACAGTGGTTACGACCTTTTTGCTTAACATAGCGTGGCACTTAAATGCTTTTGAATTACCACACTTTAAATATGTATTATCTTACACTATAAATAATTGTATTTATTTTTTCAGTCTGGCACAATCTGTGAAACTTATGATCGCAGCCGCAGTGTTTTTGACCTACGCTCTCCAATTTTACGTGCCAATGGAAATTATCTGGAAAGCGCTGAAAAACAGCTACCAAAACAGGCCAACTCTGGCAGAAAACGTAATCCGTTACAGTTTGATCGTGCTAACGGTGGGGATCGCGATTTGTGTGCCAAATTTGGGCGGCTTCATAACCCTTGTGGGAGCCGTGTGTCTGTCGACGTTGGGTCTCATATTCCCAGCCATAATTGACACCGTCACAAACTACGAAGATCCCGGCATGGGTCGTTTCAAGTGGAGACTGGTGAAAAATTGTCTTCTCGTCACTTTCGGTCTGATTGGTTTTGTGACCGGAACGTACGTCAGCATAATCGAAATCATCTACGGTTAAAATTTCTCGCTAATTTAGTAGCAACGCGTTTCTTGGGCGTCTTTCGTGCAGGGAGCCGATCATTTGGAAAACGGCAGGGGTGGGCTTTATGCCGGCTGAAACCCGGTGGTGTTTTCCTATCTCTTAGAACAATTTTTATTCGATACATTTTGGGCAGCCGGGAAATCAAGTCAAATTATTATCTAGATAATAGCCTTCTATTCAATGACATATGGTTTCTTTTCTCCCCTAACATATCAAAAGACATACCAAAAATTAAAACGGCTCCCTGTATAATAATATACTCATCAGAAAAAAAATCTTTTGAGACTTTTCTATTCGCAGACTAGTAAAAGACTGCAAGTTTCTAGCTGTGATTATTACAGTAAAAATAATTTTCATTTTAAAATGTATTTGAGCGAAAGCCAAATTTCACAGTTTATAGTAATGGCTGACATCTTTAACAAATATTTTTTACCAAGATAACGAATTTTGTTATAGTCGATTCATTTTTTAATTATTAAACATTTCCTAAACAAAAGTCAAGATAGTGAGAATTTTTTAGCCATCCACTTATTTATATTTATAAATATAATGATTGTGATTTTCTTAGATTTCTAAGTAGAATTCGAATAGTGAGCTCAAATTATAGTGTAAAATTGTTAGTGTTCATTACTCTTTATAATTAAAGCCTCCCATTTTATATGTTATCTATCAAATATTATAAAATTTAGACAAAATTAGCAATCGCCTATTTAAAGTTGACATAAAAAATGGGTATTAAAATAGACTAGGTACCTATCTAAAACCATTAGTAATCATTAAAAACTGTCATCTTTAGGTTTAGTTTTGTATCTTAAATGTTTAGGTTTTGCCGACATAATTGACTGAGAAACTGGTTTAATTAGGAGTAAATTTTCTCAATAGACAAGCCATTGGCTTAAAACAACTTAAGTTCTGAACACTGGTGACCTAACACAATAAATACAGTATTTTAGTTCCAAAGGAACTGTTGTTTGGTGCCTTACAATACAAACCAAAGTCTGGATGTTTTTTGTCCAGATGAGGAAAATTTAAAGTTTATTTAAAAAAACAGGGTTGGTTTAAGAAATTGTTCAATGTTCCTTATTTACACAGACAGCTTTAACGTATTAATTTTCATTTTTGATCACCTTGTCATTTATTTTTATACTTATTTATTATAAATATTAAATAACAAAAGGTTGTCTGTAAGGGAAATGTTTATTTATGAATCCAACTATTTATTTAAAAAAAAACTACTTAAACATGGATTTATAAAATAAACATTTAAAAAGAAGCATTTCTAAGTTCTTGTAGTCTGTATCCCAAAGTTTTAACATCAAACTGCTTTAAATAAAATACTTAATACAAGAATTTAAAGTATAAATAATTAAGTCAATAATTTCCAAAAATTTTGTTATAATGATATTATGTATTTCTACCCAATTATATGAAAAAATAAAGATTGTTTTCAATATACCTAATCATGTTTTCCTTGTCCCTTATATATTGCTTGCCTTCGAGCTTGAAGTATAACAAAATACTTGTGTTTTATTAAAAAATATCATTTTATAAAAATTTTATTGTAGTATTTATTAGTCAGTACCCTGGTCTGTACTAGGCACACTGCCATAGAGAAACAAAAACAAGTTGTTTGTTTTTCTACTTCAAGTCTTAGGTCTTCATTTGTCATTCAATGAATACGCATTAAATGTGTTAAAGCAAGTTTTAGTTTTATTTAAACAAATTTATTTGGCGACGAGTATTAAAGCGCCACGTGTGCGACGAACCCAGTGAAATGGTAGTACAAACAAGCAATGTAGGAAAACTTCGCGAGTTCAGGTGCGGAGACACAGACTGGACAATCTTTAAAGCCCGTTTAGAACAATATTTTGTATCGGATAATTTATTGATTGTGCTTTCCGGTTTCTCCGGAGAAGAAGTCATATAACATGCCCATTTCCTGCAAGGTTTAAATTCTATGGGGCAATTAAAAGTGCAGAGGATAATATAAATGAGTGGGCATGCCTGAGTAAGGAATTTGGCTACAAATTTAAATGACGATTTGGCACAGAGTTAGTGATGGTTTGAGGGATAAATTTATTGTCGGGTTGGGAGGAAAACTTTTGGAGCGGCTTTTCGAAGAAAAGAAACGTTAACGTTGGAAAAAGCGGTGAAAATCGCTAGATGTTACCAAGGGAAGAAGAATTTTCAAGTTAAAGAAGAGGTTTTATGTATCCAAAAAAACCTAAACAGCAGCGAAGGCCAACGTCGGCAGTTCAATTTAAATTTCGCACAGTAGTCTGGCAATTATGGAGAGGGAATTAATCGTCGGTTCCAGGCAACGTCTTCAGCTACTTCAGCAAGGTCGAGCGGTAATGGTTGCCACATTTGCGGAAAAACAAATCACCAAAAAGAAAAGTATTTTTATAAATATTTCACATGTAGAATTTGCGATTAGATCAGATTTTTTAGTGTTAAAATACATAGTTTATACACACGTCAGAAAAATATATGAAATACTTTATTTAAAAATGAATAAAAAATATTTATGAAATACAATAAATATAAATAAACATTAAATTACCCAGTAAGCACAAGCTAGCCGGCCCGCATTCGGCCCGAATACGTTTTGCCGAATCGGCCGCGTGCGGCCCGACACATGTATTTGTTCCGGCGTGTAGACCGGGCATGTCCGCCTGGCCGAATGTCGGCTGTGTTTACTCGGCCGAGTGTCGGCTGTGTATAGTTGGCCAAGTGCCGGACACAACAGCCTGACAATTCAAAAAAGCCTTCAGACGTCCTGGATAGGTACCTATATCCTATAGGTTTAACAAACTCGACTATAGCTAGCCATTATTCGTTACACAGCAAACGGAAAATTATAGAGGTGTATAGGATGACGCCACGTTTGAATATCGTTTTCTAAATCTCCCTACGGTATAGAGTTGTATTCGTCAGTCGAGCGTTTCAATACTCTCCACAGTATAGAGGTCGTAATTTCACTTTTGAACTAGTATTAATATAAAAAATATTTTATGCTTAAAAAAACTATATACGACATGATTGTGATTTTTTTCATTTTATTAATTAATTAAGCTGTGTTGAATATTTTTCCTAAAGGAATAATTGCCAATGGGCCATTAATTCATTTGTTCGTAGATGCTACAATAACCATCATCAACCAGATTTAAATATTACAAAACTAACATATACCAGTGGAGATAGTGCAGGGTCTACCAACAGACCTAATTACTAAATTATTAAAGTTTAATAGCATATCGATCATTCTTTCAACATAACCTCTGAAATTTTTAATACAAATATAGGTACTTTATATAATACATAAACAGAGCTGTCACAAGTCACTTCTAAAAAGACTTAAGTCATAAGTCGTAAGTCTTTTTTGAAATAAAAATGACTTAAGTCTTAAGTCATTTTTTCTATAAAACAGAAAAGATTTAAGTCTTAAGCCTTTCAAAAAGACTTAAGTCTTTTTTTTAAGCCCTAAGTCTTATTAAAAATGACTTAAATCAAATATATAACGACTTAAATCTAGAAAAAGACTTAAGTCATTTTTAGGGACTTAAGTCCCTAAAAATACTTAAGTCGTTTTTAGATTTAAGTCGTTTTATAGGTTTAGGTCGAAAAAAAAAAGATTTAAGTCGAAAAAAAAAAGATTTAAGTAAAAAAAAAACAAATACCTTACTCATTTTGAGAGATTCAAAACAAGATCAAAGAGTATATATCTAATAGATACTCTTTGACAAGACTTTTAATGAAATTTATTTTTAAAATAGGTGCATAACAAAAAGTTGATCACTTAATTAGTCAATTATTGTATTGTATATAATAATGTACTGGCACACAGTGTTGGAAATGCCCAAAAAGCTGGCCAAAACCTATAAAATCTACATTAATATATTTGACTAAATTTAAATGTTTTTCATTAGTAAACTAATAAAGGTATGTTAAAAACATGCAATTTTACCTCGACGCAACGTTCAAACCATCAAAATAGTAATTTTAAAAATTATTAAATCATTATTTATTTATTTTTTTAAGAATTTAATTCTTAGTAAGATTTAATTCTTTTTAAAATGACAAAATAGGTAAGAATTTCTTACCTATTTTGTCATTTTAAAAAGAATTAAATCATTATTTTGACTTAAGTCATTTTAATAGGAATCCGAAGTTGCTGCACCATTGGACTGAACCCTTTTTTAATAATTTCTAGAGACATAAATGACTGCACCATTCGACCGGGTCGAGTTTCTACCTCTCTGTTGAATATAGAAAATCAAAATAATGTATCTTGTAAGACACCATTGAGTTTGACTTTAAATATAGTCGTGCATACGTATAGAGCCGAAAAATATAAAAACAAAGCACGATTCAATACAGTTATGATAAAACTTTAAGATTTGATATTCAAACGCGGAGTCATCCTATACACTTCTATAATTTTTCGTTTGCTGTGTACTGAGCAGATGAGGATGGAGATGGGGACTTCTAACAATTAATGTTCAGCTATACCATAACAGAGGCACACTTCCAACTAAATATTGCAACCCATTGCTACTTATAGTTAGCTCGCTTGCGTAAGCAGCCGCGAGATGTATTGCTTATGACGCAGCAGGCCGTATTCTGGCTGTAAGCGGGCCGGCTAGGGCAAGCCGAACGATTTAGCAGCGACATGCCGTATTCTGGCCGACCTTGGTTAGAACATGGCCAAACAGTACCGGGCTAACATAACGCGGGCCATAAGCGGGACGACTGGGGGCAAGCCGAACCGCCGGTCAACCGCCTATGCCGAGCGAAGGCCGACTGTTTGCCGAGTGTTTGGTGCTTACTGGGAACCATCCCGGGTAGAAATTAACGTTTACCTACGTAGTTAAAACGTTATTTGAATGTACACAGACAGCAATATGACGTCTTAATTAAGTCTGCATAAGGTCAATTTTAAGATTTGGACGTCAGATACATCATCAGAAAGAAGTTTTTAAGAATGCGCCACCTATTAAAGTTATCAAGACTTCTCAAAAAAGAACTCTTAAGGAACCCTTTCTTTGACTTCGCAATAAAGCATTTTAAAAAGTCCTATAATAGGACTGTATAGTAAACTGTATAAACTTATAAAAAAACTTCTTTAGAATTTCCTTTTTGGATATAGTTACTACTAGGGTACTGATAAAAAAAATTACATACTGGATCTTTGCTTATTTTGATATGTCTAGTTTAATTACCATAGAACCAACGAATTTGTTAAATTAATTTTATTAAAATCATTTTATTTCCACCTTCTTAGTAAATGACATTTTATAGGTTAGTTGTGTTGTTTTTGTATCCAAGTAAAAGATACATTATGGGAACAGACCTGTAATATTTTACGGGCTTGTATAAAAGAGTCTTTAAAAAGACCTGCAAAGTTTTACAGGCTTGTAGAAAAGCAATTTATGATTTCATCCGCAAACATCTATTTTAATCCGCAAAGGTCTGCTTCATCTGATTTCACCTGCAAACATCTGCTTTTATACGCGAAGATCTACTTTTATACGCGAACGTCTGCTTTAATCCGCAAGCATCTGCTTTTATCCGCAAACATCTGCATTTATCCGCGAACGTCTACTTTAATCCGCAAACATCTGTTTCAATCCGCAAACATCTTTGACAAAATTTACCGTTTCTCAGGCCATGTAAGAGCTGGACACAAAAATAAAAAAAAGTTTCTTGTGAAATAGGTAGTTACTTAATATGTGTATATAATTTGAAAAAACTATTTTTGATAGCTTATTATAAATAAAAAAAAATCAACGCTAAAACATTTTTTAACTTTTATTAGGTATTATTTCAAAGCAAATGTTATGTAGATTCAAAAAATACCCATCTCCAATATGGGTGTTTTAAAAAAATTCAAACTGTTCAACTGTTCTAGGTACCTATAGGTATGGTATACCTATGTAAAACTTTCAAAATTTGTTTTTTACTAGTATACTATCAAATTATTTTGAAGACAGAAGTACAAAAAAATAAAATGTATTATTTTAAATTTTTTACAAATTTAACTGCTACCTGTGTTTTTTTAAGATTTAATAAGGGCCATAAATTATTTAATGTGTAATAACCCTTTATAGGTTAATGGTCTCTATGTTAACCACATCCATTACAGCTTACTTAGAAATGAGAGAGAACCCAAACTTCGACCAAAGTACAAATAAATGAACTCATAATGTGCAGTGGGTATCATATTGGCCTCAATTTAAATTTGGCAATTGTTAGAACCAATGTGGTCTCTATGTTAACCATTGCCTGTTCCCACAAAATTGCGAAAAAGTAACATTTGCAGTAATTGTTGCTGCTAGCGAGCATAAGCATGTTTGTTTTACCTGACAACACACATAATTCAAAAGGTAATTGAATGCTTTACAACTTGTGAGGAAAATAGGAATCCGAAGTTGCTGCACCATTGGACTGAACCCTTTTTTAATAATTTCTAGAGACATAAATGACTGCACCATTCGACCGGGTCGAGTTTCTACCTCTCTGTTGAATATAGAAAATCAAAATAATGTATCTTGTAAGACACCATTGAGTTTGACTTTAAATATAGTCGTGCATACGTATAGAGCCGAAAAATATAAAAACAAAGCACGATTCAATACAGTTATGATAAAACTTTAAGATTTGATATTCAAACGCGGAGTCATCCTATACACTTCTATAATTTTTCGTTTTCATTGAAAATAAAAATAAAAATATGCATCACAGAAATGCCACTGTAACTTACTCACAAACACAAGAGTAGGTAGAATCAAAAAATGAAGAAACTTTGAGAAATTAAAATTTACTAAAACCGTTTCCAGATAAGAATAATGACAGTGAACAATTTGAAAACAAATATTTGATTTTTTATAGCATACACCATGTAATTATTTTACCTGGACCTGAAAAAAAAAACTAAAATCCTTTCAGAAACGCAAAAAAAACGATTAATTTAAATATGTGGTTTGCATTTAGACCATCGCCCATCTATCATCTTATAGGCAGTGGTTTCCATTTTATCCACCATGATAAATTAAAAAAAAAAAAACAGTTGGAATTTCAAAATAATCATAAAAATAACTTAAGACATTCAAATAGGTAGGTCTTACCAAAAAATAAATAAAAATAACAATTAATGGTCTCTGCCCTATAAAGGGATAAATAATAACTATTTTTGATAGCATATTATAAATTTTTAAAAAATCACCGCTAAAACATTTTTTAACTTTTATTATTATTTCAAAGCAAATGTTATGTAGATTCAAAAAATACCCATCTCCAATATGGGAGTTTTAAAAAAATTCAAACTGTTCAACTGTTTTAGGTATAGCTATACCTTAGGTACCTAGGTACCTAAAACAGTTGAACAGTTTGAATTTTTTTAAAACTCCCATACATACTATACATACTATACATACTATCAAATTATTTTGAAGACTGAAGTACAAAAAAATAAAATGTATTATTTTAAATTTTTTACAAATTTAACTGCTACCTGTGTATTTTTAAGATTTTATAATGGCCATAAATTATTTAATGTGTAATACATTTTTAGGTATATTATTAATATAAAATAAACTTTTTTTTTAATCCAAACATTTTATTACTTATAATCAACAAATGTTCCTAGTACTGCATTATGAAGTAAACAAATATGAACAATTATTTACCATAATTTTTCAAGCGACTCCATAAGGGTTAATGGTTTTTTAGCTGGAACATGCCTTTCAACAACTTTGCCATCTTCATTGATGATGAACTTGGTGAAATTCCATTTGATATCCTTTCCATTGGGACCAGCTATTTTTTCCTTCATAAACTTGTACAAAGGATGGGCATTTTTGCCGTTTACGCTAATTTTCTCAAACATATCAAACTTAACATTTCTTGCTTTAACAAATTCACAGATTTTGGCTGAATCGCCTGGTTCTTGCCCACCAAATTGGTTGCATGGAAAAGCTAAAATTCTCAGACCTTTATCTTTGGCATATTTGTCATATAACTCTACAAATTGCTCGTAGTTGCTTTTGGTGTGGCCGCATCTAGATGCCACATTTACAATTATGCAAACATGCCCTTTGTATTTTTCCAAAGAAACCTCCTCACCGTTAATATCTTTTGCAGTAAATTCGTAAATTGTTTCTGCAGTTTCCCAAGGCTCCGGTACTTTATTTATTTCTGCATTTTTTTTAGATTTTTTAGGTTTTTCCTTAGTTTCGATTGCAATCTCTTGTATTTCTTCTGTTTGTGGAGATTTTCCAGCATTTCTTGCACTTCTTCTTGGCGGCATTCTGATCAACTTAACCTTAATTTCAAAACAAAACAAACGTTATGTCTGCGTTATGTTAAAAACCATAGATAGTGTCTACTGCGCCGCCGGCGTCGTTTTTAAATATTATTTCTGCAACGCCGCGGCGCCGGCGCCTATAGTCTATTTAAGGAACTAGCGTTTACATTATTTAATTTACCCCTTCGGGGTTTTCTATGGTTTACTTCTGAACCAGAATTGTTGGCATGTGTTCGTTGTTCTTTCTTGTTTTATTACGTAGTTGAACTTTTGTATTTTAACGATTACATACATTATGTATGTATACATAAGGATATGGACAAGTTCAAAGATATCTCCAACTTAAAATTGTTTTATTGTGGAATTGCTTATGTGAAATATTTTAATTGTTTTTAGGCGGCATATTAGGCAAAGTCATCCTGATAAAATTAGATATTTGTGTAACACAACTTAAGTTGTGTGACACAACACAAAATTATTTTAAAAATATTGCCAATAGGTATATTAATGTTCATGATTATTGGATAAACATTGTTTACCCAATGCCTAATATTATTTCAATATTCCTACAAGTTGTAGGCTACAACCAGGGCCGGATTTACGAATTTGCCGCCCATGGGCCCAACGCATCATTACACCGAATAACGAATGACTCAGCGAATAAGCTAGAGTCGCGCCCCACTCGCCTCGTGTACATCGACTGCCGCCCTTCTACGCAGTGACGCACTACGCAGAATAATAGTGTAGTATGATATAAAATTATCTAATGTATTAAAAAACTTCTCTTCCAACTTTTTATAGTTTTAATTAGTGTATAAATCTGAGTGAAAACAAAAATTCTGCATAAAACGCTCTTGATTTTTTACCAAATTTTTAACTGGCCTTCAAAATTTGCCGCCCCTAAAATTTGCCGCCCTGGGCCCGGGCCCATGTGGCCCATGCCTAAATCCGGCCCTGGCTACAACATTCAAGCTACATTCGTAATGAATTCGCTGGCCGAGTGACACTTTGGCACGCAAGTCGGCACGAAATTTACCATTCACAATAACTTTACACAAAGTTCTTTGAACTTTACAGTCGAATTTAACGCATGGGCGTTGGTAACTGTCATGTTCTTTGTAAGGTTAGAATTTGCATTATTTTGTTTTTGTTTGGTGCTATTTTTTACACAAAAACGGACAACAATCAATCAAATAGTTTACTTATGTTCAGTAATAGTTTATTTAGTGATAAATTCTTATTACAATGTGTTTCAAACTACAAAACACTAATGTTCTCTTTATAATAAATACCTAATAATAATTATAATAAACTTATTGTAAAGAAAGTATACATTAAGTTACATAGATACATTTACAATGGGTTCAACACTACACTGTTGTTTATTTACCTAGTACAATTTTCAGTTCTCTTTTTAATTTAATTGCATTATCACAAGTCGAATAAAGATTATTCATTTTGTTATCACCAAATCACTTTAGTTTATTTAAATAAAGCAAGAAAAATGTATTTAATCACAATAAAAACACTACACACACGAAACTCAACGCCATTGAAAATGTCAAACCTTCCTAACAAAGGCAATGCGCATGTCGCATAGCCGGCACGAAAGTCGAAGTTGAAGTCGAAGTTTGCAGCTTGCAAGAAATTTTGCCCACTTCAACTTCCACTTTAACGTCGAATTTCATTGTGAACGATCACACTGTTACACATTTGCTTAGCTTGCAAGTCAAATTGCCACTCGGCCAGCGAATTCATTACGAATGTAGCTTCAGATGTACTAAAAGTTTTAGTCTAAAACCTCTATTGTAGAAATGTTGATTGTGATATATTTATAAAACATTGAAGAAATTGGTTTGCAAATATTTATGCATATTTTAATAATATTACCAAAATATTTATTAAATCGTAAAAGATATTACTAATGTTTATTAAATATTGGAATTAATTCACATAAAAATTAAAATTTTCTAATGATAATTTATTTACCTATATAAAAATATACTCGGCCGAGTGTCGGCTGTGTATAGTTGGCCGAGTGCCGGCCACAACCGCCTGGCCATTCAAAAAAAGCCTACAGACGTCCTGGAGAGGTGTACGTCCTGGAGAGGATACGTATCCTATAAGGTCAGTCTTGAAATTCTTTGAATTGCAAGATACTTTTTTAACACACTCGACTAGCTACTAGCTAGTAGCTAGACATTATTCGTTACTGTGCAGATGAGGATGGAGATGGGGACTCCAAACAATTAATGTTCAGCTATGCCTATACGGCTAGCCGACATTCGGCCAGTTGGCCAGGCGGACATGCCCGTTCTACACGCCGGAAGAAATACGTGTGTCGGGCCGGCTAGCTTGTGCTTACTGGGTCGCATCTCGCACCTATATGAAAGCGACTTAAGTAAGCGTTGAAAGGCTGTTTTCTGGTCTCAAATTTTTACTTCCCCCAACAAGATAAGAAAATTAGAGGAAATTTGTGAGAACCAACAGAATTTTTGGAGAAAAAGAAGAACAAAAGCTAAAAGTACCTATAGGCAAAGATAAAAACTGTATACAGTTTTTATCTTTGCCAAAAAAAATAAATTTTTCATTTTATAAGTAGGTAAGTACTTCTTTATATCTACATGATAAAAAAATTGGAACCGAAAAAAACCGTATGGACGGAAAAGATTGGTCCGAACCGGACAGAAATATTTTTTTTGGAACCGTAACTGAACCGAACCGAAATTTGTCGTTTCTCTCAGAACGGGAACCGGACAGAACCCGTTATTTCATTTGGGTCAGGTTCCCTGATGTAGGTACACTTTAGCTGGATATCGTATATACGAAAAACTACCACATTTTTTTAGAAGTAATTAGTAGTTTAGGTAATTAAGACTGAATAATATGGCATTAATGCCATATTATTCAGTCTTTCAAATAATCCAAAATACTTATTTATTCTGGTCAAAATAGATTTTTCTATAGGTTATAACCTTAAAATTATAAAATTAGATGATATTTTAGTCATAATATATTAACCTACCTTTAATACAGATATACTTATTCCATTGACTAAGGAAGTTCCTTAAAGGATCCTTTAAGGATCTTCCATCTTAAGGAACTTCCATCCTTTAAGGAACTTCCATCTTATTCAATGGTATTCAATGGTATTTAAACACATACTTCCACACATATACTGCTTATTGCCTATGTATATTTTGTATAGATGACCTTGTTCCCGTTTGCAGATTGCGTTCTATGGTTTGTTCTGTGCGTTTCTAAGGGGAAATTTGTTCTCGTAGTGTGCCATTTTCCTTTATGCGCATAGTCAGTTCATAAGTGGGGGATTTAAAATATATGATACCATAGACATCACATAACATTAGATAGAGAAATTAATACGTCCATTTATGATACGAATTGTCAACTAAACAAAATTTAGGTTATATAAAATTTTTCTAAATTATTTGGTTCCATAGCCTGGGTTAAGCTTACAAACATTTTTGTGATTTGGCTTTATAAAAAGCAAAAAGTGGCATAATATGCATATTATGTAAAATCCACTAAAATCTCGTTAAAACAATGGAAAAAAACAATGCCAAAACAATTGACCATATGCAAGGAATGCGGTCGATGTTGCCAATGGTAAAAAAATAAAATTTCCTATTGGGAACATTCAATTATATTACGTTGGCTACACTGAAATTTTGAATTTCCCGCACAAACTGACTTTACATTCTAGTAGTTCCCAGAGATAAAGAAGGTAGTTCCAATGTTGTATAATAAATTAAGGTGCGAATTTCAAATGTGGGAATTATTATTATTTATTATTATTAAAAAAAAAGATGTAAATTAATTTAGTTTGTGCGGGAAATTCAAATTTTCAATGTAGCCAATGGTAAAAAAATAAAATTCCCTATTGGGAACATTCAATTATATTACATATGTAATATAATTGAATGTGGGAATGGGAATTTTATTTTTTTACCATTGGCAACATCGACCGAATTCCTTGCATATGGTCAATTGGTATACAACAGAAAACAAACAAAATTGAAAATTAAAATAACCATCTACATATTTATATGTCTACCATAAAAATCTTTTGGCTATAATCGTGATCAAAAGACGATGTTGCCAAATTTTTGCTTTTATAAAAATGCCATTATAAAATCATTTATCATTTTGTGAGTATATTATTGTTAAATGCTTTTTTCATACAATTTATATCCAATTTATTAAAAAGTATTTATTATACTTCTTAAATAGGGACAAAAATATGTTATTTTTTTAAAAACCGGCAATGCAGCTGACGCATGCGCCTCAATGCCCGCTATAGCGGGTATACCCTGTGAGAACATTTCCCCTACTTTACCCCCACGAAATGGAAACAGTTATATGGTTAGAAATGATTTGTATATGTGTGGAAGTATGTGTATTTAAATTAATATAGCGCCATCTAGGGAATTCTTAGTACATAAATGGAGTACTCCGACTGTAGGATTCTGTAATGCCGACATTGATGGAAGGCAACAGTAAAATTTACCTACATAACTTATATTCTCTCTTTATTCTCTTTGCTAAAAGCGCCGACGCAAACCTATTTGTTTTAAATTTGTATATTCCCGCTAAAATTAAAGTGCACTTTTGAGTTGTTTTGTAAAATGTTTTTTATATAAATTAATTTTTTTTTTATTTTAAGGTTTAAGTAAAAAATATTTTGATTAATTGTTTTCTTGCTTTTATATATTAAATATTTTATTTTAATTTTTCAAATGTACGGTTATTTTTTCTTAAATACGGTAATTTTTACCCAGCAGGTACGGTAATTTCATTTTGACCATCTGGCAACGCTGAGAGAAACAGACAGAAAAGTAAAGTCGCATCTACAAAGAACTTTGATTGTAAATATTCTTGTTATATGTTGTAAATCGGTAGGTACTTTGAAGTGCAAAAGCAAAAGTCGCTTGGCTAGAAGATAAAAATAGCACTGGGAATATTTTGGTATGTCATTCGATTTCTAACTAGGTACGCA